AGCGGTCGGTGACAGAAGTGCTAACAACAGTGAAGAAATATACTGTAGTCACAAGCGCTACAAGCATACCCTATAATTTATAAATTATAATATAATGCATCTAATTCAATAGCCATGGAAACTGGCGCTACTGTATAGGTTAGCTGTGAAAAAGTCCAAGGATTGTTGTAAATGCTTGTGAGCTGCTACTCCCGCCACTTTTGCGCTGCTGAAGTAGAAGTTAGACAAGAAACAGGTGTATTGCTTATGCAAAAGTCCGTAGGTATACAGATGATGCACACAGTTCTTCGCCCTCGAATCCAACACGCGCTAATTTCTGTTACCTACGAAGGTATTCGGCACGTCATCCTCTGACACGTTGCCATTTTTCTGTTCTGGTCTGTTCTACAAACTTTCCGGACGATTTCTTCTTCTACGGTTGTCAGGTCTGAGGTGCAATTCACCTCGTTGTCAATACCGACGAACTCTTCTGCATTAATGATTAGGATTGTACAAGAGCTAACCTAGTCCTTAACGAGGAAAGCTCATCAGAAAATGCATCGAATGCTAGTAGACGGAAGCCAGAATGCGGAAAGCAAGCTTTTGTTGTGCCACTAGGATGCCCATAACATACTGAAACCAAATGAACGGCTTGGAGCAAAGAACTTGGCGCTGACATCCACCGTCGATGATAAGTCAGGTAACAGGTTATTTTCGAAGCGATAAAGCATTCGGTCTACAAATTCCTTTCTGTGATGGATTTTCAGCTTCATAATGACACCTTAGTCCGTGGGTTAAAATATGCTGGTCGTGTTCGCCTGCGAAAACCCAATTTGTACATTTTTCAAGCTCACTTGTGAATGAGCTGCGCAGTTATCCAAAAGCAACAAAATATTTCAGCCACTTTGGCCTCGCTCTTGATGCAATGGAGGACCCACTAGGTAAAAGCGCTTTCGTCATCCACGCATGTTTGTTTGCACTGTAAGTTACGGAAAGTTTGTCCACATTCAAGCTATTAAAACATCGTGGTTTCTTGCTTTTCCAAGCAAACCCGACATATTTGTGCAACACAAGCGAATGATCATATCCATGACATTCTTCGACCCGCTGAGCTCTTCGGCGGAAATACACGAAGAGCCCTCTGGATTTGCACGGCACAAAAGACCTGGTTAGTCTGTATTGTACAGCTTGTCATCACCAAATGCCTTTCAATGTCAAGACAGTCGATCTTCCAGCCAATTTTCACAGACCGCTCTGTCTGCAGAACGGCTTTCGCTCTGCGCGCGTTTTATACAAGTTGAGTTCTGTTCTTCCATCTTTGCAACCATCCTTCTTTGGCAGCAAAGGAACTTCCGTCTTTCCCCTAAACCTTATGATATTTGCTTCAGAGGCGGCCCTGTGACCGTTTGGATAAGCTCAAGAACCGATGTTATCCTGTCTTTCAATGCGGCTTCAACTGCGTCGTCCTTTCCACATCGCTTCCTTTTCTGATCGCTGTAGTGCCACCCGACTGATGCTGCCGGATTCCTTTTCGCTTGCACTCAACCTGGCTAGGGTACGACAAGAAATATGTAAATCATAATGGAACAATGGATTTATGCGGGTATAAAAGCTAAAGCTTGACAAATCCCGTAGGGTGATCAGTGCGAAAATCATAGAAGTGTGAAAAATTCAATGGAAACCAATTCAGTAAAATCGTTTAACAACGAGTCACTACAAGCTTGTGGACTCACCGAGTTTGAAGTGTCAAAATAATAATCCACTATAACTCCGGAGGGGATCATGAGGTATGGAGCATTCGGTTAAAAGAGTCACCGCCCCTTGAAATTCGCATGGGGCAAAGTGTTTGAGTTTGAAGCGTCAAAATATAAATCCACTGTTGAAATAAGCGTGGGGGAAAATTATTTTTAAAGTATGGATTTTGGATCTCTCAAAATTAGACTGTACTATGGGACATAGTGCAATGAAGTGAGTGCACTATCAACTCGATTTTTGAACTCGATCAGGTTTGGTGCACTGACTACAGATTCTGGTAGAGCATTCCAGGCTTGGCAAACACGCACGGAAAAGAAATTCCGTCGACATTCCAAACGGCTGTACTGCACTGCCAGCTTCAGATGATGGCCTCTCAGGTTGTTGTTGTTACTGAGCTCCAGCAGATGGCGGCAGGTATGATTGGGGTCCGTCAGAATCTGATAAGCCAAAATCAAATCTCCCCGTAGTCTCTGATATTGACCACTAAATATCCCGAGCGATCTCAGTCTGTCTTCGTAGCGTAACTGGCCTAAACCTTTCACGTTCTTCGTTTCGCGTCGTTGAGGTTTCTCTAAATCAGAGAGGTCTTTCCTCAGCCACGGCTGCCAGACTTGTATTGCATACTCCACGTGTGGTCGTATGTATGCACCTAGAAGTTGGTGAAAAATGGATGGATCGAAGCGTCCAAATGTGCGCCTGAGAAGGCCCAAATTTCGAATGCTCGCGTTCGATGCTTTCTTTGGCCTGGGCTGAACAACCAAGGTCGGACTGAATCAAGACTCCTAAATCCTTTTCCTCAGCAGTTGTGTGAAGCACATGGTCACCCAGTTTATAGAAAAATGCTGATTGGTGACGTAAGTGTAATACTCTGCATTTTGCTGTGTTGAATGGGAGTTGGTTCTGAACTGACCACGCATACACCTTATCCAGATCCTCTTGAAGTATTGCGGAGTCGTCTGGTGTATTGATCGCTCTCTAGACCTTGATGTCGTCGGCATAGAGTAGGCAGTTGGAAAGAATGAGGGCCGCTATGTCGTCAATATACATCAAAAACAATCGTGGCCCCAGTACCGATCCTTGTGGTACACCACATTCGACTTGGATTGGGTGTGACAGGGACCCACGCACTTTTACCTCTAAGCTCCGGTGGAGAAGAAAGCTTGTGATCCATCCTAGGAGCGGATCACCAATGCGACAACTGAACCTGCAAGGTTTCTGGTTGATAAGTTAATTTCGTCCAAAACTTCCAGCTTTACTCTCAACGACAAAGGGTTTCTGTTACTGGCCATACTTGTGTGTAACCAACAGAGTACTGACAAATGTAAAGCGGAACTATTGGCCGACTTTGCTCAGTTCTCAAGTTTTGCATAGGGCCAGGAATTTGCTCCAAGCAGTCTGTACCTTTAGTCTGCTCTTTTATTGGTTGACGTATGTAACAGTTACAATTCTGGTACCGTCTTGGCAGGCACAACCTGGTTTCACTGGTGCCAGGACGCTATCGGGCCCTAGCAGCAAAGTCACTATGCTAA